TTAATTGAACCAGCAAAACAGAGGCCAGTTTTATTTTCCAAATAATGGGGCAAGCGCAAGTATCTTTAGTTCAAAATGGCTGTTTGAATATAAGCCTGATACCGTTAAGACAATTGTACCAAGCGTTCAGATTTGTATGAGCTTGGACTATGGTCTAACACGTAAAAGACAGTTATTCAACTTCGTTAGTAAAGTTGCACAAAGTTAACTCTTCGTCCGCTCTAAATAAATATTCCTGATTACTATTTTTAATTTCTTAGTTACTACTGTTCTTAGTTACTGCACCATTATTTTTCTGTATTCCCCATGTGGAAAAAACGGTAATTTTAAACAGAGTTAAAAGGAAGAAACAGAACTCCATATGCCTCTTGACTGCTTGATGAATTCTGTGACAAAAATGTGGTTACTTTGCGGTTTTTTTACATCGTAACTAATTGCCCTATAATTTAATTGCTTGTATAATGTTGTGATACAATAGAACAAAGCAAAACGTGGTGAAAGTTTAAAAATTCATGGTACCCTTGCAATCGATAAAAAGTTCGCCGGTCTGTTTCAGAAGAAATACATGGAAAACTTACTCTTTTGAGTACAGAAAATTTGCAAAATCACTGTCCTCCTGAAAGGTTTCATCAGGCGTTGCTTTCGAAACCAAAGATTTGTTTTTCTCCAAGAACTTTTCAACGTGGGTTTCAAGAATTTTTAGCAGAACTAAACTGGCTCTCTTTAGCCGCGACACAAAGTGACAGATTACCTTTCTTCAGTTGAGTAACGCACATTCTTCTTTGATCCAATTTCTTGCAAAATCTGTTCGTAACTTTCAGTGCAACCCGTAGCTTGCAAGTCAGATGTTAACGCCTGTAAAGGCTCGACAAAATAATCCATATCCCGAACGCTTCCTTAATTGTTGTTTTGTCCTTAAAATGAGGATAAAACCTCTTATAAAATTGAGGCGAATGGCTGCACACTTCCCATGTTCAAACTGGCAAACAAGTCAAAGAAAGTGACATAAATTGCAAGCACTTGGTTGAAAGTTAAAAGAATGCACTTAAAATTGATATTCTATATTTTATTAGGCTCTTATTTATTCGTGGTCTATTGCGTTACATTAATACTATCCTTGTACCAATTGACAAAAAAATTCATGTCGGACTGCAAATTAGATATATCATCTTTAACAATTTTTTGTTTACTACCTTTTTAATTCTATGAACAAAGGCTAGTTCAATCTAAAGGTATGGTACTGCAAGTAATGTAAATCGATGGAAAAAAAACTTACGTCAAAACTTCGTATCCTCACAGTTATTTAATAGTACATTAAGCCGTGTTTATAGGAATAGGCACCATTTTAAAACAACTGAAGATATTGTTTTATAAATATAGAAACGGAAGGTGGATAATGAACTGCGGCATTTTCTGTGCTACAATGCACAACCTGTTCTGTATATATGTTTCTTTCATCTACGATTTTTCACGCACCAAAATTTTTCGTTGGTTTTGGTTTATGCTGTCAACTCTTTGCCAACGATAGATGTGTTTCGTTCAACAGCATATCAAGCCCACTAAAGATTTTTAATATAATCCTGATCAACTGTGCTCGCACCTGCTTTCGATATACGGCCAAGCCCACCTAAACCTGGAATCGAGAGAGGGTCGTAAAATACCGGAGGCAGTGGAAGGTACAACGTGTTCCACCCCACGCCTGGTCCACGTACGATTTACCGGGATGTCGCGCAAGTAATAAAGAGGGGGATGTCGGATACCAAATAAGAGGGGCTGTCAAACAGGCCACATTAAGAAGGAGCCACTGCAGCCCGCGCCTCAGTCCTAATGTTAGAACCGAGATATATTGTCAGTAAGCAGCCTTCGTAGAAACGACTTTTAGTGCACCGTGATTGTTCATCGTGAGAAAAGTTAATACTATTCTGTTGACACACAGTGCTCAAATTCAGCCACGTTTGCTTTTGTCTCTCCCAGGCACCTGTGCAATGTTCGAATCGTCAGCCATTCGTTGTGAGAATTGGATACAAGCAAGTGGCGTGGCGTCAACCTCTATCTAGGCGTGTCACCAGACTTCTGTGCGTGTTGCATTGCCATCCGATTAAGGCGTACTATGCTCAAGCTTGGCGTCTGCATTGGTCCAGCGCATCTTCCGTGTAGAGCGTTGCAGGAGCAGGTAAAACATCAGTAACCATATAAAGCACTCAAATCCAACTCAGACTCCACATTGACTTGTGTGATGTCTATTATTCTTTCAAAGGAAAAATAGGGATTTCCCGTAGTAAGAAGGCTTGTTTGGTAAGTAAGCGTTTACTGCGCATTGAATTAATATCCCGATTCATGGGGATATTGTATATACAATGTAACTCAATGTAACTCATGATATCATGAGTTACATTGGAAATTTATCACACGGTTTTCATAAAATTTGAACTCTTGTGTGCGCTAATGCCCACATTTAGTAAACACGTTTCATGAAACATTTTACATAAGTCTCATTGGGTATTTTGGTAAGCACGGTTAACAGAAAAAATATGTAGGCTATTGAAATGCATCTTAATTCGCTTGGTAGTTCATTCGATTTTAACGACCACTATGCAGGTCGACTTTTAAGTCTACATACCTGTGAAATAAAACTGCGTATTTGATTAAACCTAGGTTGTAAAGTTCCTTTTTTCACTAAAATTATGTTTAAATAAGGCAATAGCTGAAATTTAAGCTATTGCATTAATGCAATTCGGTTGCGATAAAAATTTTAATTGTTGAATACTCGCGTCATTGAAATGTTAAAATGATACAGAAGTGTTCAATCAAAACTGGATCTTGATTCATTTATTTTTTAGGTCAATTTTATAAGTAAAATTCACACAAAGGGTGATGAACAATGAAGGGCTTGAAACAAGAACGTTCCAATGTACATATTGCGTTACAATATGATAATTATCGCACAAATTTTTGATGTGGAGCTGTCCAATTGCATAACGCCTAGAGGCGCGTATTTGTAAGGGAAGACGACTCTTAATAAATCTTTTCAAGAACAGCTGTAACTAAGTCAAACATCGATTAATGACGCTGTGAGTAAATGTTGTTGATTTAGTTAAACTAATGGCTGGGCAGTTCAGTTCTGTCGGAGAAATGTGGAAGCTTTAAATTCTTCAGTACTATAATGCACTTCCTGATATGATCCACATATATTTATGGTAAATTGGTACAGGCTATGAGTTTTTTATTCTGTCTGTTTAGTAGTCGAGATATAGAAAGAAAGATTGTAGATGGAGGCAAAAACTGAGCAATTCGTCAGCATTCAAAGTATCCGTGCGTTTTATTGCTTTCTGATTAAAGGTTATGTGGTTGTAAAATCCAGAAAACAATTGACTGCCCATAGCAAATTTTCAGTGTGTGGTTAGGTGCCAATTAGCTTGCGGGTGGATAATAAATACCACTAAAACCCGAGCCTTAATTATCGTCAATACTCAAGCCGAGGGAGAAATTTATGACGTAAATCTTAAAAAATATTTCATAATGTTTAGAAAATGCTTCAAATTCTGAAAATATTGACCAAAAGCAAATAAATTTGCGTTTATCTGTAAGTGGCATAAAGGCTCCCAGCCCTGCCAACGGGTTGTCCTGACCATCGGATAGTCACGTGAAGTAAGACGCGGTTATGACCATGGCGTGGTCACTGTTATATGAAAATGTACTGTTTTTATCTAAATAAATTGCCATCCGTGTAGAAAATCTCCGGAAGACACAGGAATTGACCAATAGCTACAGCTCTGTATCAACTGCTGAAGATGCTCTGCTTAAGTGGCCTGTTAGAAGCCACTCAAATACTATTTTGTTTAGAGACCTGTACAGAATATGTTTCCGTCAGGTCTTTTATCCTAACTTGTTAGAGTGATCAACGTTTGATTTTTTGGTACACGGTAAGAGAGTTCGATTAATTCTCTATCTCATTTTACATCCTCCATCTCCTTTTTCGTCTCCAAAATTTTCGAAGGGCGTCTGGAGCCCGTTGTACAGGTATTTGTTGTAACGGATGCCCAGACCGAGATATCGCCACCCAATAACGCCTTGTGTGAGTCCACAGAGGAAGAACACGACAAGAATGGTGCAACGGCAGAAGTCTTTTAGTTTTAGAGGTACAACGTATTTTGGGAAACAAACGCGTGTAAACGACGTCCCTTGAGCCAATCAGATTCTCTTCTGAAATAGTGGCCGGTCCCATTGGTTGTTGGCTCAGTGGATGACTGTAGTTTGAATTCTGAATTATCGATCGATTGACGGCTAGTGTACGTTTGCCCGTGTAGGCCGATCGATAGCCTGCTTGGAGTGCGGCTATGGCTTGCGAGCTACTGCTTGCTAAGGCCGTTCGTTAGGCTGTCCTAAGAGTATTGCCTTCATATTTTACGTCCAACAAGCATGTTATAGTCATATGCCAGTTATCTTATAGTCTTTATACCAGAATATCCCGAATTTCAGTCGTTTTACCACGAATAGTTCTTGTTCCTTTATTTTTTCAGCCAGACTTCCGTTCGTCGAAAATGTTGTGATTCGTTTGGTGGTCGTGAGGTTCAATTCAAACTTTTAATTTATTGACTGTCTACCGGCCGCCCAATGGAACTCTAGGGGTGAGGAGGCCGTTTTTGGATTGATGAAAGAAAGGGCCTAAAACGAAGAAGTATTGATGGTTGGAAATCTTAATGCAACATCGAGCGGCTGGGACAAATTATCAGTAGAGTTCACGTGATTCCTTTACCTCCAGAATATTAAAGCTGACGGTGAATCTGTCTTTCGTTTAGAATGTCAGATTTCCAACAAGAATCATAGAGGCACAAACAACTTATTCTATGGCCCTCGTGCTTTCAAAAGGCCCAGCCGATTAGGTGAACGCAGATCAATCGCCCCGCCTGGCAAGAGCGACCACGTCAAGATTCTTTGCGAATATGGCTTAAAATCCAAGCAAACGGCGAAAACCGTGGTTCGGTTAAGTTAATGGCACGGGAATTTCTCCACAATAAGGAGTGAACTGTCGATACCAACCTGGCAAGAAATTCTTATCGGCAGTCTGGACGCCGATTGGAAACGTGCAGGGGAATTATAAATGAAGTTTTGTATCGCAACTGTCCGCTGAAAATAAAGTAATAAAGTCAAGCCGGCCTATGTGGTTAATTTGATTAGGCGGGGATTCGTCAACATCGACAAGGAGTTCTTCAGGAAAACCTACGGAGCGTTTGTTTGGTCCCACTTAGAGTATGCCGTCCAGCCCTGGCGTCCGTGGTTCAAGAAGGATTACCTGTACC